ACCTCTCCTACTCACTCCTCCTCCTCCTCTCTCGCTCTTCCTCTCGCTCTAGCTCTTCCTCCTCCTCTACCCTCATCCTCTAGCTCTTCCTCTCGCTTTTCTTCTTGCTCTTGCTTTTCTTGCTCCTCCTCCCCTGTCCTCTCCTGCAGACCCTCCCCACCCTGTTCCAGAGGGGGCTGGTCTCTGGTGCCGTGTGCTCATCCCACCAGGATCGTCCTCCAGTGGCCGCAGCGGTCCGGCTCTTCCCCCCGACCGAGCCCCCCGTTGAGCCTCTACCGGTTGAGGAAGGTCCCGGAGCAGCAGTGGATGAAGAGCGCCCCGACTTCTGATGAAGAAGAGGAGCCAGGTGGGCAGCAGGTGGCGCAAGAGAGGAGCCGAGGCTGCAGGTATTCAGCAGGTAACGGTGCTGCTGCTAAGCGCTTCTGTCCTTCCACTTAATTTCTACATGTTTTTTTCCCCCGGCTAATAGAGTAACATTTGTTTATATTGTATTTCTTAAAATTGAATTGATTTGAATTTGAGTTAATTGATTTCAATTAAATTACATTTATCGAAATGTAAGCTGTTCAAATTGAATTGAATAATTAAAAAAACAATTCGTTTTTGTTTAAATGATTTGAACGGGTAAGTATTTTCTCATTTAATTGAGTTCAATTCAGTCGAAATGATTTGAACCTAAAGATATTTAAATTTGATGAATTCATTTTTTTTTTTAATTGCATTGCTTTGACATGAACTATTTTTAAATGTGAACGGTAAGTATTGGATTGAACTGAATTAAATGAAAGTGTATCAGATGTAAGGACCCTGCTCTGGTTAGAATCCTTGTTGCCGGTCCATTACTCAGGCAGGGTGTCTGCACAGAGTGGGGGGGATCTGGGGGGGACAGTGTGAACCTCCAACGTGTTTCACCCCCTCAGTGAAGCCCCCCTGTGCAGAGAAGGAAAAGGATGGCGACACCATGTCATAGCGGTCCATATGTCTGTCGAGGGCCACCCCAGCCAAGAAGAGTCTGCAGAGACAAGGGCCTCAGGGCAGGGGCCACACTGGGGAAGGGAGGGGGGGACAGTAACTGTAGTGGTACAAACTGTGATAGTAAGATCAGCAACAAGGTGTTTAAAAATGGTAAAAACAAACATTGAAAGGGTTAAAATGGGATAAAAGGGTTATTCAATCAGAAATAGAGGTTTGAAGAGCACAGAGGAGAGATGAAAAGGATCACAGCAGAGAAGAGTAGAGAAGAAACACTAAGGGAAGACGAGGAATACGAGAAGAGAAAATATGAGAGAGGGGCATGTGGGAACCCTCTCATTATTAAAGGTAAATATCATTTTAACATTTTCATTCGTACTACTTGTTTTTAACAGTGTTTGCATGTGTTGTTGTTTTTCCAGAGGGGAGGAAAGAAGAGGAGAGGAGGAGGGAGGCCAAATTAAGAGTGACATGTCACAAACAACATGGTAATAATCAAGATATCCAATATCATTTCTAGATTTCACAAAGTTATTTACGTTTGTAGAAACTTCACATGCAAAAAAGGTAAAAACCAAGTTATTCAATCTTTTGTTTCTAGATTTCAGGAAGTTCAGTTCATCTGTTCACACCATAGACTGTATATATAAAGGTTCACACGTTATTTTTGAAGATTCTAACATCACTTGTTTTTATTTTTAGAGAGGAGAGGGTAGGAGAGGAGGTGGAGGGGCAAAACTAGGCATGACTTCTCATGTAAAGAAGGTCAAATACTCATACTAGATTTCACCAAGTTCTGTTCACGTGTTATTTGAAGATTTTAACATGTTTTCCTTTTATCTTTTAGAGACCTGAGAGGAAATGAGGAGAGGAAGGGAGGAGGCAATAATTAAGTTTGACCTCTCACAAAAAAAGGTATGCATCATTTAATGTTATCACCACGTTTCGTTAAATTGAGTTCATTTGTACGACTTTTAAGTTTTTAATTATTATTTTAGTTTTTAGAGGGAGAAAATGAGAGGAAGAGGAGAGGAGGTGGAGGGCAATGTGAAGGGCAGTCTTTCCCATGTAAAAAGTAAATAATGTATTTCATATTTTATTAAAATAATGTGGTTGGATAACTCATCTGTTCATTTTTTTCTGGAGATTTTATTATTATTTTTTTGTTACAGAATTAAGGAGAGAAGAAAGGGTTAAAGAAGAGGACGTGAAGAGACGAGGAAAGAGGCTGAACAGAAGATATTCTAAGTTTTGGAATAAAACGACGATGCTATGCAGTAATTACTTTAAATATTGTAAGGTTGCAATAAACTATAACTTGTGTAATGTTGAGGAGAATATGATTTGTAATAAAACATTTTTTTTTTAAATGCCTTGGTTTACAGAGTGTTGCTTGTATGTTTTGTCAGGCACCTATCTTTACAAATATTTAGTCTCAGCCAACAGGAGTGGGTTTCACATTTTTACTGTAAGAAACTGGCTTCCACAGAAAATCAAGGCTTCAAAGTCCTGCAGTCTTCTTCATTTCTCACACAACCACACATTTAATAGGCGTTTGGATATGGACTACATTTCTTGATGCTTTGGCTAATGCCTGCAGGTCATCTGGCTAAGCCTTTCAGAAGCAATGTGATTCCATTAGAAGGACTCATGCCAGTAATCAAAGCTTTTAATGATCAGATGCATTTCATGTTCTACTTTGTTCTGGCATCAGTGGCTTAGACAAAGAAACGTTATTTGACTTCAGACTAGAAGGGATATCTGACTATTCCATACACTTGTATCTAATTATCTACTACAACCATAATACTGTTCCTAACAAGCATTCATTTTAGGGAGGAATAAAACCAACACGTGAACCATGACTTTCATACTCATCTTTGTTTTCTTTGAATTTGATGAACTGGTTGCTATAACACTGCTGCAAAAGCATTTCATATTTAAGAAGAGTATTATATTGCAAATATTTCAGTTTGTAACATTGCTTTTACTTGTTGAATCCCCCTGAAAAGAGCCAGCTTTATTGGTCTTCCATTCATTGTTGCAAATGGTTTATGATATTAAAGCATTTAGTCTTTATAATATTCTTGTGGTAAAAGATTATTTAGAGTGATATGATATACTATACTTGAATGAAGCTTGCATTAGTCATAAAAAACCTACTTTATGACAAATATTTCGAAATTCGAAGCAGCTTGTTCTTTGTTGTGGCAAATAAAGCAACATTGCAATGATTTGCCACAATTAAACATATCCCAATTATTTGAAGATGAATTAAAGATTTAAAAGATGCTGCTTTTTATATATACGTTTTATCTCTGGAAGTTTTTCCTTGTACGATGTGAGGGTCTAAGGACAGAGGGTGTCGTTTTTCTCATACTGATATTCTGAACAATCTGTGCTGTTGTATTAGCTGTAAAGTGTCTCTACTGTAGGCTATTTTTATTATATGTACAGCACTTTGGCTCCACCAAAAATAGTTTATAAATGTGCTATATGAATAAAACTTGATTTGATTGACTGTTGGCAACTACAAATATGACATTCTGTAGACATCATATTGCATTCTGGTAAATAATGTCAAACATTTGTTATTATTTAGTTGCTTTGCCACATAACTAGATCATTGCTCCATGTTTATAAGGTATTTATTTGACATGTACTTGACCTCCTGACTGGGTGACCAGCAGATGTCAGCATCAACACACTGCTGCCATCCTGGAGTCTGAACTCAAACACCTCCAGTGAGTGGCTTAGACACAAGCAGTGGGGCAGTCAACTTCAAACGTATGATAGTTCAGTCAAGCTCACTCTCCTCTTTTCTATTTCTTTCCTGTACATTTATATAAGTGCATGTATTACTGTAAGGTCAACGATTAAGATGTGCCAGTTTGTTCTATATACATATCGAATGAGGATAATTCAGCATCATTCACAATGACACAATTATCAATATATGAATGTTAATGGTCGAAATCAGACCATAGCAAATATATTTAACCTATGTGTTGCAATGCTGAATGAATGCTTCAGTTCTGATGGAGTGCCATACACAGTACTGGCTTCATTCAACACCTCCTTATATTAAAGTTAATGTGCAGTCTTTGTGGAAAATATGATTAAGAGGATTAGATTCTACTTTATGATCACTATATCTTGTGCTGCTGTTGTCTTATCCCATTTATGTCCAGGAGGGTAACATCCTCTATATTAAAAAGGTTAGACAAAGTGATATCAGGTTTAACTATCAAAATATACTGCACTTTCCACATGACAATGGTGAGCTGACAAATCAACCCACAGAAAGATCTTTGACAAACTAATACAAATTAGATTTCTTGCTTATCTTTGTTTTATATCATGCTCATATCTAAGTAAATATATCTGATTATGGACTGTCATCTCAATTTATAGACATCACATTGGATTTTGAGAAACTATCATGGACATTTTAAACTATTTTCTTAAATTGTATATGCCAAACATTTTAAAAAAAACACCTAAATATTGCCATTCTTTATTTCTGCATAGAAAATGTGAAATGTTCCCAATTCAACATGTTCTGTAAATCTAAAGGGTAAGGCATCAGATTATGGGAACGATTACCAGCTATCATTGGGCAGTGCTGCAGAGAACGTTGCTTGAAAATACAAAAATCTTTAAGGATATTAAAACAAATGACTCCTTATGCTCAGGGGCATGTGGGCTTGTGAGGCCTGCAGATACGCTGCATGCTACAGCAGAGACAGGGCCAGGCAGGTCTCTCCAACAGGACAGTGGACTTGTGACCCAGGCAGGCTTGGATGATAGCCCCGCTGGAAAAGGCTGACGCAGGGAGTCCATTATTGCCCCTGGAGGAAGCTGAGGATTAGAACACCAAAGAATTTCAATAAAAGAAGTGTCTGTTTGGGGGTCGGGGAGGGGCAGAAGGATAGTGGTGGGTTGGGGTTGGGGGGGTCCCCCTCATTGTCCCAACAGTGATTGAGAGCAAGAGGAGGGGAGTGGGACGGCATTGTGTTCGCAACTCCTCTGAAGAAGGTGGTTATTAGGGGGGATGGCTAAGGAGGGGTGAGGGATGGGGAAGGCTGTTGACTCTTCATCTTGTGTGAACAAAGTCTCTGGCACATAGCCCTCTTCTGTCCCTCTGTCCTGGACTCCCTTGTTTACGAGTGCCATGAATTCTGTCCCTCTCGGCGGGGACCCCCACCACCTCCAACCTGCACCGCCGCACATTGTGGGGCTTAAGTGCCCTTTAATTAGGCCGCCTCAGTGTCCGGCTGAAGACCGCTGAGGGTTTTAGGCTCTTCCCTGTGGGACCTCGCTGAGCGGCTCATACAGCTTCCCTCACACAGCGCAGGGATGAAGTGTTTGCTGCTCTAATGAAAAAGGTTTATTTGGGGGGGAACAGCTCTTGTCGTCTTTGTCCCCTGTCTTAAAAAGTCCTGACAAAGGCGTTGATATTATCCCTAACACTCTCCCATTTCCAGGACACATTAGCGAGGATGCTGAGGTGAGGCAGCAGTCCCTCTGCTACCGCATGACTTCCAAATTCTCTCCAGACAAATCATGACATTAGACACGATGCACTTTCTGTGCAGACGGAGCACATAGCACACTGGGTCATGACTATCTGGTATTAATTTATCAGGCAATTACTTCACAGATGGAGCCAAATGAAAATCTGGTTCGTGGTCATGCAATTAGAATGGGAGATTTAAATTTGCCACATGTGAAGAGAAGCGGGAATTCATGCAAAAATATGTAAAGGAGCGTACATTTAAATAAATGCAACTCATAAACGCAGCCAAACAGATGAACAGCTTTGTCATTGTGATGGAGCACATTTCATTATCATAGCAGCAAAAAAAGAAACCCACAGGATCCAGAGAATAATAGGAGAGGCATTGGGAATTTGCAAACTGCTCCGGCAAAATGAGTAATTTCTGGATGCCCTATTGTGTGAAGAGCTTACAGGGTGAGGGCTCTGAAAGGAAGAGGCAAAGGAAGGATATAAACATGGAGGCAAGTGAAATAAAGTGAAAGATGGAGGGAACGAGACGGAGAAGAATGAAAAGAAGTTTGTGAAGGGAGCAGGGCGGGATTGGGCGTGTTCAGAAACTTTTTCGCTACAGCCCAGTGTGTGTAGATACCCTCCTAATCCTGGTTTTATTGGCTGCCTGTGTCCAGCCATGCTGGTCGGATTGAGTAGGGAGGGTAGAGTGGTGGGGGGGGCAAACACATGTCCTTCTTTGTGGTAATACGCTGATTAGGCCTGAGAAAGAGCCGGACCTGGTTACGGCCTTTTCTCAGGTAACCGTAGAAACCAGCTCAGTAGGGGTGCGCAGTGTGCCCCCCCCCCCCTGTACACCTAATGATGCAGACACACAGAACAAGGCCTTCACTTGCAGAGGTTTGTACAAAACACAACAAGTGTTGTTGAGGACTGTTCATTTTAGGATCAGTCCCTGGAGTTCACAACTTAAAGGGATAGTTTGGATGTTTTTAAGTGGGTTGTATGAGTTACTTATAGTCAGTGTTTTACCTACAGTAGATAGTGGTCAGCAGAGTTACCACACAATGTACAGCTGTGGAGGGGGGCGCAGCCAAGCGTATTTTAGACACCTAAAAGAAAGGCCCAGTAAAGACAAAAAAGTTAAGTGCATTCAATATTTTGAATATTTGTACAGTATTACGCTGTCAGACAGACTTTCCAAAGCCACCACATTCCATTGAAAAACCCAAACCAGTCACAGTCAAACTAACTGGTCCAGGCACCAGTAGACCAGCAACTCCTGTGTTTTGTGTAATTACTGTTTGTGTCAACTGAGTTTGGTTGCATTAAAGAGAGCAAAGTAAACTGCTTAAGTTCCCATCAGAAAGGACAGTCGCAGCAAGGTAAAGTGATGAAAATATAAGAAATATGGCGTAAAGTTAAACCAGTATAGATGTTTTGTTGGTGGGGTTTTCTTTAGAAAGGTAATATATATTTTGGTGCTGTTCGCCTCCACAGCAATAAAGTACATTGCTTTCCTTCAATGCTGGTTCACCTGTCTGTGAGCACCATCAATGGATTATATCCCATCCAACCCCACAAAAACATCCGAACTATCCCTTTAATTGCTGTTGACTTTCCAGACAGTTTGTGTTGCACTTGTGGCCTCGACCTGAGAAACGTGGTTTCAATGTTGCTCCGATGTAGACCGCAGACTGATTCCTCTGCCTGTGCTCATAAATTAGACCAATGTCACATTCCCCCCCCATCCATCCCTGGCCCTGCGCACCGTCAATAGCTCCTGCAGAGCAAGTGTCGTCCAAATCCCAGAGCTGAGCTCGGCACATTTCTGGCGATGCTGTAACATATGACAATGTTTATGATGGGAAACAGACCTGCCTCATTGTCAGCACCACGATGACATCTTGACTCGAGGCAGAGTCATCTTTATTGGTACAATGCAGAAGACTCCCCACCACGACTGGCAACAGTGCAGGCTTCATAGGAGCTCCACAAAGATATCGATCAATTATTGTCACATTTAGAGGCTCGGAGGACCCCCCCCCCTCCCCTCTCAAACAGGGCGGTAGGTCGAGTGCTGCTCACTCACTGCCTGTTTCCCTATCTTCTTTGTTATGGAGGAATAAAACACAGAAGGGGCGGTTGAAGGGGGGCCCTCCACTACTGACCTCCAGACTGTGGTCACTGAGCCCTCTCCCCACGGTGGGCACTCAGCCTCCTCTCTGCAGAGTGCACGCTCCCAGCCCCTGCTGAGCGACCTTCCAGCCCCCTCAGTCCACCGAGGCTCCCTCACGCCCTGGAGATCCTCAGCAGAAGGATTGCGGCCCCCAGGCAACACACAACAGAGGGACAGACAAGGGGGATCTTTTTTATTTCAAGTATAAATACTGCTGAAACAGTTAAAACAACAGTGAACGTGCGATATTTGAGTCACCTGTCACTCTAACAGCATACTGAACTGAATCTGCAAAGATGGTCAACTTATTGAGGAGATTATGGACAGAAACAAAACCTAACTATTTGCTATTTTCAAACAAAAATGACAGAAAAATCAGTGTTATAGCCCCTTAAAATGGAGATGACTGCCAAACTAAAGAGTTAAGAAGGGACCAAAAAGACCAGCTTTATAAAGCTGGGATGGAACATTTTTTATATTGTGTAACGTTCTATAAACCATTTGATAAATTAAACAAACAAACGTCTAGATGAATTAGTAAAATAACCTTCAGTTGCAAAGATGTACAGGTATCAAATGTTTGTAATTGTGTACGGGTGAAATGTTTCCTGAAAGTCAACAAATAAAATCTCATTCATTTTTTTTGTTGCTACAATATTAAATCAGGATGACACCAACAAAACATCTCTTACTATTATTGAACTTATCATCACTTTCCTCACTTGGAAACAGATCTCCCAAAGGCTGGCTTCCACATGGCTGCACACACTTAATCTACAAATCTGTCAGGTAGTCCATCTGGTCTACTTACTTGTTCATGTATTTCCAATGAGTGTCACATGTTTTAAATATGTGGTTTAAAAAGCCTTAAAGTGTAGTTCAAATTGAATGAATGAAATAAAAAAAGCAGAGTTCTCTGCTACCCCTGACATAAGTCTCTTAAGGGCAAACAAACTAGTAGAAAACTGGCCGATACATCTGAATAATCCTGATGTGAGAAGTGTCAGAGCCTCACGGATCATAAAAAGTGATGTTCTGTGATGTATGAACTTCATTCTGATGAACCCCTTCATTACTGGCTTCAAACGGTCTCCTGCAGTGGTTGTTAGTGGTCATTCATTCCATGAGTGCTAATCCTTAGAGACAAAACTCTCAACAAGATTGTTATCACTACGTCTGGCTCTCTTTGATCTCTGCCGGCTATCTTGTTTGTATTCGTCCTGATCAGTTTCCTTGTGTGTGAATCAAATGCATGCTCACTTCAGGCTAAGTCCATCACAAGTGTCCCACCCTCCTCCTTCACTCTATCTGCCTCCCTATCCTCTCGCCCCCCTCCTCCCCCCCGTCCCACGGCTGCTCGCCCCGCAGCCCATCAGAATGACAATAGTATTGATGTCAAATGTGTCGCCTTTGGGCCGCTGAAGCATATAACCCTGCATGCCTGGCCCAGCCACCACCACAGTTTATGGCTTTATTGTGTCCCCTTTTATGTCCCCCCCTGTTGGGGTGGGAGGACAACAATTTAGAAAATGCACTGTATATGTCCCTGTGAGTCGGACAGAGATTATGTGTGTGTGTGTGTGTGTGTGTGTGTGTGTGTGTGTCTGCATCCGAATCAATTAGTCAGGACGCAACCCCTAAAAATCAATGTGTCAGAACGAACGTCAAACCCTGTATGGAAGAGAAAAGGAGAAACTGGCCTGCATCTCTTCACCTCCAGCCACTATTTTTTTTTTCCAATGATCACACATGAAACAAGTTGAGTACCAACTCTGCTCTACCTTTCTTCATGTGTCCCTCCCTCTCTCATTTCCCTCCCTCCCTCTTTTCACTCTTTCCTTTCTTTTCCACATTACCAGGGGGTGGCGTGTGATTGACAGATGGGAACGAATAATAATTTTTTTTTCGTAACCTAAGGCCATCTCCTGTGATTGGCTTGCCAGCTGACATCTCCAAACCTCATTCCCCCCGCCTCTCCCCCCCTTTAATATTGGGCCTGTGGATGAGGCATCCTCAGGGAGAAAAAAGTAGAGAGAGAGAAAAAGATATCTACCTTAGGGAAGAACCTCAGAGAGAGGGAGGGAAGGAGAGGACGGGTAGGAGCGTGTGTGCATGTGTGTAAGAGACACTTATTCTCTTAACTACTAGGAGACAGACACACTTTCCTGGCCCGACTCAAAGAAGGGGGGAAAACAGGAGGAAGATTTCTTTTTTTCTCAATATCACTTCAATCTTCCCATCATTCAACAATCAAGCTTCTCTTCCTGGAAACTCTTCTTCATTGCCTGCTGGAAGTTCCATGTATTGATCCCTCTCACACACTACAAGGCTTACCTCATGGATTTGTATCTGATTGGATATTTGATGTGTGTGTGGTTGTCCAGCTCACGGGTGCTTGGAGGCTATCCCATCTGGTGGTGAGTACAAATCCACAGTTTCAGCATCAGACCCTAGACGCATACAGAGAGAGAGTATTTTTTGGGTCAAATGATTATTTCTGAGGGGGCAGAATGTGCACTTTTAGTGTGGAAAAATGTTCCGGCCCAGTCCAAAGAATCTTAACCTCAAATTCTAGTGCAACGGAAAAGGCTCTCCGTTCTTTCCCCCTCTATACTCAGGTCCATTTATCATTTTGGAGTATGTTTTGATGCAAAGGGGATGATTTTTTTAGTTTGTGAGCCTTTAGATTATTTGAAAATATGGAGGGTTTTTTTTATTTAAGGAAAAATACAACATGGCGAAGAGGTTGCCATGTTGATATGAATTGTCAACAGCACTGTAAGGACTTATGAGGATTTTCAGCCACAACAATAACTCATTAGATCATTCATTTTTACATAAATTGTAGATATCGCTCTCCGATGATGACAACGCTGTTGTTGCTCGTGAAAACTCAACAAAGCCTCAAAAGAGGCTCTTTTTTCTAAACCATAATCAATTTATTTCTTGAAGTCCAACCATATCATTTCAGGAGAGCCTCAGGGAGTAGAACAATCATGACTTATAAGATGAGCGTCATTTTGTTTTGTTAGCTATTGTGCGTCACTGTTCTACATTCAGGCCGGCGGCTCCCAAAAATTGCACTAATTTCAATCGGAATTATATTTGCCTTTTTTTGGTAGATGTATGTGTTGTACAAACATTTTTCCAGTGATAAACATGAACACAATAAAAAAAAATACAACAAATTTGCAATGAGGTATCGGCTGTAATTAAATTAATCCTTTTTTTTTTTTAAACAGTTAAGCTTTACAGTTTGCTTTTCAATTGCACCACAATTCACCCCCTCCACTACGGATTTGCCAGGAGACAATATGTTTAGGTGCCGCAGGGTTTTATTCTTTGTTAAATTATCCCAGATCGCTTTTGGCACCAGTAACTGAAATGTAGAGGTTTATCTCATTACAAATTCAGCTACATGCAGCTGACCTCACAGCTCCTGGTCTTCTTTTGTAACATAAAGCTTGTATTTTGGAGATATTTGCGAGGGCGTATGACAAAGCTCTTTTGGCTCACAACACAATACTTGTCAGAGCCACTGCACTTTTAGTAGCCCAACAAGCATGTGGTCCCACCGTAGTGCTGTCCAAACCACGAGCATCTTCTGGTTTCATTTACAGAGCAGGCAGCTGCCAAGCACACAGGCCACAGGGCTGAAGTGTTAATGGCAGAGAGGACTTTACACCCACTGCTGGCTTCAGCAGGACCCATCAGACAACAGTGACAAAGAGCTTGGGATTCTCTCTCTGTGAATTACCTGCAGCTGTTCTGTTCAAGGAGCTTACATGACACTGGTGTAATGTTCGAACCTCAACAAAGCGCACCACCTTTGATTTAGGTAGAGCATTTTGAAGTGTAGGCAATGGAATGGGTTACTGTGAGGGTGGAGGGATGAAAAGCAGTAGCCGTAGCTCCAGGTGACTGGGCAGGTGCTGAGGAATTGATGTCAAACAGCGCTGTCAGTGGCGTCACCCTGCGGTGTCCGAAAAGAGACAAAATAACGTGTTGCGTCAAACAACAGGGTGCCGAGTTTCAGCCAGCCAGGGCCCGAGCAGGCTCCTCTCAGCTTCTGTCTCAGGGGCGAGGACTTGGCCATAAATTCTCCAGCCAAGGTGGGACGGGTTGGAGGGAAGAGCACTTTTGACTGCTTTATGCCTGGCAGCTTTGCTTTTACAAGATGGGGTGTTGAAACCAAAACAGAGCATAAATAACTCCGCTGATATGCACATATGCGTGGAGGAAAATGAGGTGTAGTAGAAAGACACAGAAAGCTAATGAGGTGGGTTTGGAAAAGGGGCGACTGAGCAGTAAATTGCCTCCTTGAAATGCAAGAATGTTGGGGAAACGGCAGCTTTAAACAACAAAGTTTGCGAGAATTTATGACATCTTAAAGAACCCTACATAATCCACAGGTCTCTGTCCAATTATCTGACAACACCATACAGCCTGTTTGGTTCGGGAATGAAAAAGATATCTGTTTTTTGGACGTATTGCTGTTATTCACCTTTTAACCAGCATTTAAAAATCAAAGAATATCTGAGAACTTGCTGAGGACTATGACATAAGCGTTGTTTATAAAAGTCTCGTCTAATATTGTATTAAGCCTGTGTGGCTTAACTGATAAACTATTTTCATAGCAGCTTAAGCCACTCTGTCAGCCAGCTGTGTGTTTGTGTTCTTTGCGTAAACAGCAGCGGTGTTAAGTGAATGATGACAGTCACTTTCAGCAAGGAATTACCTCAGCTCAATTTACTTCGATGCCAAACATCGAGCAACGGCAGAGATCATCGCTTTAACTCTGTCATATCACAGCCACTAAATGGTTAAATCCAATAACTGTTATTCTCTTTACCCTCTGTTAGCACAACTGTTAAATCAGAGACATAATACACTTGGTGTACATTGTTTTGCAATTTAAAGTAGGGCCATCAATTTTCCTCACAAATATTTCAAATGCTTAAACTTAAAATGTACATAAGTGCGGTTAATGGGAGGGATAAAGAAGACAAAGGCAGATTAAAAAAAAAATGGCACAAGGGTTATTTGCTTTACAA